ACCCCCAGTGCTTGTGCCAGCGATCCAATCAAACATTTCTGCAATAGGCATACCGGCAGCTTCCTCGACGGCCTGCAAACGGTGCAGATGGAAAAAAGACAGCTCTAAAATAATTTGCCAACTTCAGGGTGTTTTATTCAACATTACACTCAAAAAAGGAAGGCTTCATAGGTGTTAGTTTGTTACCATGATCCTTGCAAAGTCCAAGTTTCAGAAAAAGTCCAATGAAGAAACAGCACTTGAGTTTAAACTTATTACCCCTGTATGATAGAACAGGATTCCCTATGAAAATCCTTATCAGTGTGTGTCAGTGTGTTACACATGGAATCACCTATTTGCATAATATTTCTCTTAACCGTTTCCTACTTTTCCCGACATCAATCATGAGACTAAGCCTTCTGGCCAATAACATATATCTAGTCCAAGTTTACAAGTCATCTTCTTGCATCCCCTAAATTAGATATATACACGTCTTTAAGGTGCTCCAAATTCCAACTTACTATCAATATCTGCGTCAATATGAGGCCTCTTATTCCTCCACCGTCTAAGCTCAGAACATTGTCACTGTGTCTTGGGGATGCACTGCTATCTGTCTCATCGGTTGTCATGGAAACCTTCTGCCTGGTAGCCATCATGCTGATGCACACATTCAAGAAATCATCGTAAGCTGTGTAAAAAAAGCATGTTTAAGCAAAATTATATGAAAGTGACAAACTTCCGAATAAGTTGTCTTGCAGAGTTAGAAGTCATTACTGCAGAGGTGTCATGCCCATGGACAAGTAAAACGCACGCCATTACATGTCTCTTTTGACCAATAGTATGCCCTAACTTAACAAATATGCTCGCATGTCAAGTTTAAGAATGCATGTGCCAATGTCACGCCACCACATATATGATGTCTCCTCCTTCATGAGCAAATTGGAGTGCATCGTTAGCCAACTTCACTACGTATCTAGGCAGTGAAAACGATATGCGCACGTCCAGCTGTGTTACATTTAAAAAGGTAAACGTGTCTCCAATTTTACAGGATAAGCCACACACACCTTTATTGCCCTCTGACTGGGCAACCTCAATGGATGTGGGTGGGTTACCATCATACGTCCCGTCCGCCTTGCACCCAGCGCTGCACCCCTTCATACCCGCCGGACACCGCCGTGCCCCTACCAGGTGGAGTGCACTGATGACGTTATTGGAGGAGCCCACAATGCCCCCCAGGGAAGACAACAGCAGAGTGGCAGCTACGTGGCGTGGGGATTCCCCCTTTCTGTTCACTGCATTGACGTCAGCCCCAAATACAATCAGTGCATACACCATGTCTAGGTCGTTCGTCTGCAAAGCAGAAAACACGTAGAACTGAATTAAAGACATTTAACCAATGAGTATTTCACAAATATGAATTATACATGTAAGTAATGCATTAGTCATGCATTTGAAATCGGGAATTATTCTTTAATCGTAACTGGTGAATTTCTACATCCAGAAATCCTTATCAAATCCTTTGCATCTATCATGGACTTGTTCCAACAGAGTTATAAAAGCAAGTTATACCAAGAACTTTCATTATTCACCAGGTGGATTTTGAATTAACGAATCCACTGTACTCAACGGAATTCACCTAAGGCCAGCATTCTCTTTATTGGAATAAGAACATAGCATGAAAGTTTGCAGGGTTGGAGGACGGGAAATTTTGTTTTTATAAAACTCAACCGTTTGAGTGACCCTCATCTACGACACCTCATATCAAGCCAATTACTTCGTCTTTTATGCATCATCTGAATCATTGCTCCTACCCTGACAGCTTGATGCAATGGAGTGTCTCCTTCAGGCAGGGAGGCATTAACATCCGCCCCAGCACATAGCAGTGACACCACGCATCCAAGCCTCTGATGCTGAACCATGACCTGAAGAGGAGTGTGACCAGTCTTGCTCCTCAAGTTGACGTCAAAGGTCCCCCGTCTCTCGATCACCAGCTTGATGAACACCGGGGATTTGGCATAATGTAATGCAGAGCCTCCGTATTTCACACACAGCATCATGTCAGGCTGCATGTCGGGGGCTTGTAGAAAAGCCTCAGCGGCCCTGACACAGGCACAAAAAATTAATTTCATCACGAATCGTACAAAAAACCTCTACTTCTTCTGGATTCAGTCTGTGAATAAAGATGAGCACGTTACCACACAATGGCATTTGTCTTGGGTATTTGTCTTGACACCAAGTCCCCCCCCCCCCGACAGTGACAAAAAGAGAAAAGTATCAGATCCGTCACTGGACCTACATGATGACAATGCAGATTTTGTAACATTCAGACGAAAATTGGTCAGGTGCACTTTGTGGCATACATATGCAAACCACTATGCACATGTACAACATACTAGGTCGTGCATCAGTCCCGGATATGGGGGGATTTAACGGTTTTCAAGGGAAAACGCCCCTTGAGTTTTTGGATTGACTGACCTGCTGTGCTGATGTTTGAAGGCATAGTGTACGGGATAGCCAACCGAGTCTGTCACATTGACTGATGCACCTAGAGCCACCAGGCCTGCAGCGGTGTCCAGGTGAGCCTGCTGACATGCTATCTGCAGGGCTGTCAAACCATGGATGTTGCACCCGTTGATGGCGCTGACATCTTCTGCCAAAAGCTGCAGTTTTACAACATAAGGAATGCAGTCACCGTATAATTTTTTTCCCACCACAAAAAATGAATATTACTTGCATCGTTAAAACCTGCAGGCTAGGATAACACATATCACTTTGTACATTCAGTGAGCTAGGTAACAAACATAAACCAATTTTTTTAAACATTGAATAACATGGGAAACTGGTTGTCTTACAAGCAAGTCTGTTTCCTCACTTACTTATAAATGTTGACAAAATTAACTGAGTTTCCTCTATTATGATTACAGTGGAACGCCGCTATAACAAATGAGATGGGGTCCACGCTAAAGGTTCGGTACTGCAGTCATTCGTTATAGCGAATTTAACTGCCAGATATTTCATTGCCATGTTGAACAGCGCCCTCTTTCGTCTAACCGAAGTGTACCCTCTTGTGATACCTTGGTTCGCTGTTTTCAAGATGTTTTGCCGTTGCATTCAAGTTTAAGGTTTCTAGAAATGTATCTGTTAATTATTTTTGTTTTTTATTTAAACTTGAGTCAAAAAATTGATATCAAGTTTATCCTAAAAGTCGTGAAACTACCACTCAGGATCGATCTACGATGCATGCTGTGGCGAACCTCGGTTAATTTGTGTATCAGCGTCGCTCTCTGTAGACTATTGTTAGTGCAATGCAACAGTGCGCGTGCGTGCCGTTTTCTTCCGCACCCGATCATGTGGAGTTTGCAAAACCAGTGTCTATTTAATACCGTTGACAACTAGAGGCTTTCCCTTCTAATCTTTGGGGGCATAATGGCCCCTAGTCACTTTCCGACATAAAAAAACACCGACTGTTTACCATGTTGACGTTCGGGAATTACAAACGGCAACTGATAAGCATTCGGTAGGTCCTGTGCACAAATTAATGGGAGCAAGGACGATGTTCGATACAGCCGAATGTTAGGTATAATGGTATTCGGTATAGCCGCGTTCCATTGTACCAGAAATCAACCTCTGAGTTTAATGCAAGCCTAGTGCTAAATGATGATAGGAGAAAGCCTAGTGCTAAATGATGATAGGAGAAAGTCTAGTGCTCAATGATGATAGGAGAAAGTCTAGTGCTCAATGA